TTTGCAAGTGACCGCGAACTTTTTGCTCAACCTAGTAATAGGTATTTAACTAATAAATTACTTCCCTTTTCGATTACGTTAGATTATGTAACCCATTGATGATTCTCTCAATCAGTCTACAACAACAGATGCGAAAGAGCCTTGATAGGAGGAGATCAAGACAGCATATAAAGAGGATATTAACTTTGTTTTGTGCTCGACAACAGTTAGTAGCTCAGTGACATTTGAAGTTAACTGAGCACCAAAGATAACCAGCACATGTGTTGTTCTCTGTTTTTCTTCTTACTTATGCTCTGTATTGATGCTACTAGTATTCGTCGTGTTTAGTTTTTCTCCTCTCTCAGTGATTAAAAAACGATGCATAATAAACGGTCAATTGTAAATCGAAAAAGCCCATTCGACTTCTTGACTTCTGCTTTGATCTCCTCGATGTTGAATTGTTCGAGTACGTTCTGAGAAAAATATTACGATAGGCAACTTGAAAAGATTCTGAGAATTGCCAACGAAATCGAAACCTTTTTTATGTTTTCGTAGAGATTATGAAGTTTTTTGAGATATTTTAGAAGCCCTTGCTGTTTGAACAAGATTTCTATTCGTTTCAATTTTCAAAACCTTCCAAAATACCATTTTTTTCGCAATGTGAGAACATCTACGATACGACGAGAGGATAGGCGAACGATACGCAGGTTAGGAGAGAGGTTAAATGATGATGAAGGAGTTAGTCAAGATGAAATATACAAGTGGAGTGTCGAACAGTCGAAGTCAAGTCTTCGACTTGGATCGAATCTTTGAATTGTACACTATTGCATATTTTATGTGGAAAACTGATTTTCCTTGGGTGAAGCGCGCGTCTCAGCAGCTAGTATCACACTTAGAACCGAGTCGTCGTTGCCAACCATTTGGTTCGCTTGAACTTTTCGAATCGGTTCGTTTTTATAAATTTTAAAACACTAAGTCAAAGATGTTTTGCCAGTTTTTATCGATTTCCTCAGCTTTAAGGATCAAGATATATGATCCTAAAAGTCCTCAACCGATGAATTCCTAGTTGTCATCAAAGTTTCAGATCCAAATTTGAAGCACTCGCGTTGTCATCGTATAACTAAAGTTTTCGACCATGTTGAATGAATATATAATGATCACCAAAATTTAAAAAGCTATCAAAAGTTAAACTTGATCTGGACTAAAGATTTCCTATATCGTACTTTTAATTTCACTCTTCAGAACTACTCCTAGGTCAAACAATCAGAAAGTAAGATCTTACAAAATCGTACTGAAGGATTTTTTAAAGATCTTCCTCTTCTGCAGCATGTCTTTATAAGATTATAAAAAATCTTTTATAGTGATAAGATCTTTCAAGAATCTCATAGTACGATTTAGTGTAAGATTTCATCTAGTTTTACAAGATCTTACGTCGGTTTTTTTTACCTGAATAATAATTTAGATCCGATTTGTTCGTGTCAAGTTTGTCAAGTTTTATCGCAGATTTTGATAAGATCTTTTCTCGATTAGATGTTTGTCAAATTTTGAATCACTCAATTTTGGTCTTAATCCGATAGAATCCGATCGGATGAAGTCAGCATCTAACAATTTCCAACATAGTTTGCCATTGAATCTGGTCAAATCTGACAAGATTCAATGATCGGATTCCTGACCTGAGTGGACACGAACTAGTATGTGATTGTCAGAAAATTCTGATCACATTGGCAGCCGCATTTCGGACAGGATTTCCAAGCAAGAAATTCTCCCTGTAAGTCTATGTAAAATATACTTGAAGGTGGAATTAAAATGTATAGCAATTATTACTTTTACTATGCGAGCACTTATTGATCGATCGAGAAAAGAGACGCTTATGTATCCGATATGTATTATCACTACTATGAATGAATTGAAGAGATTTTTTCATAACCTAACAAGAAGTTGGATCTCTTTAACCCTCGTACTAACAGGCTTTTTTTTTCGCCGTATACGTATAGAACAGAACGGGATAAAATGATCCAGGCTGGTAGTAGACGTGTTAATCTATATGCTGATCTAAAATAGGTATATAACAATGGTTAAAAAATCTGCTGAAGTTGCTTCTGTTATTTCCCCATCGACAACATCGAAACGTCAACGTTCTGTTCAATTCTATTCGACCAAGACATTTCGTCTTCTGACCATGCTCTTACTAACTTTGTCCTTTTTCATCATCGAACTTGTTGTCGGCAATATCACAAAGTCGTTGACACTGGTTGCTGATGCCTTTCACATGCTCTCTGATATCATTTCGCTTCTTATTGGTTTACTTGCAGTACGTATAGCTAAACGACGTTCAAATATCAATACTTTTGGATGGGTACGTGCTGAAGTAGTTGGTGCCAATATCAATACTGTCTTCTTATTGGCTCTTTGTTTGACAATTATTTTTGATAGCATCAAACGATTTATTGAACCTGAACCAATTGTGAATGTCAATCTTCTACTAATTGTGGGCTCGATTGGTCTTGGAATCAATATTATCGGTCTCCTTCTCTTTCGAGGTTTCCATGGTCATTCGCATAGTGGTGTTAATGAAGCACACAGGCATAGTCATAATGAGGGAGAGCATGGGCACAGTCATGATGCAACTAATATATTGAAATTAACAAAAAGACTGAAGAAAAGCATCGAAATGAAAGAAGACGTGACTGAATCTGACAAAAATAACACTACAGCAGAAACGTATGAAGATGATATTGATCCGCTCGAAGTTATAATCGCATCCTCCGAATTTCAAAGACACAGTTTTCGAGCTCTTGATGAGGTTCGATTATTATATAGTTTTCACTCTTTTGATCACAAATCATTTTTGATCTGTTTTAGGCCATTGTCGATTGCACTTGTCATGCTCATGATGCTTTACAATGTACACATAGTCATTCTCCTAATGTAGACGCTGCTGATTCTTCTACGAAAAACGTTAGACCAAAGAAAACGTCATCAATGAATATGCATGGTGTTTTCCTACATGTATTGGCCGATGCTCTCGGTTCAGTCGTCGTAATTATTAGTTCTCTTATCATTAAATTTGTTCCTCATGATCCAGAGAATCATAAACATTGGACAGTCTATGTTGATCCAACATTGTCCGTCCTCATTGTTATTATAATAACTGTTTCAGCTATTCCATTATTGAAGGAAACAACATATGTTCTTCTTCAGACTGTTCCTAGAAATATTGAAGTTGATTCACTGAAGAAACAACTACTAGATCATGTACCAGAAATCGATGGCATTCATGAATTACACATTTGGCGTCTCACTAGCAGTGCAATTATTGCTACTGCTCATTTACGTCGACGATCATTAACAGATTATATGGCAGTCGCCAATAAAGTAAAACGTTTTTTCCATGGTGTAGGTATTCATTCCACAACGATACAATATGAATGTTCAGATGATGAAAGGCAAGATTATTTAGTAAAGAAGAATAAGAAGGATGATGAATCAAAATCGGCCGAAGTTGATTGCTTACTGGGTTGTCCAGATGAATCATGTGATACGAAAACATGCTGTACAAAAGATTCAATCCGTACAGATGCGATATCAAGCATAACAAAGGATGGTACTACACATGAACAGCCAGCTGACGTTATTGAAACAACTATTAAAATGGAAAACGAGCCCTCGCAACCGTATAATATCGGTCATAATATACATACTCAAGCAATTGAAAAGGATCCACTATTGAAAAGTGATCAAGCTTAATACTGGATTTGTTCGATATTTATATTTCTTTGTTTTTTATTGTTGTAATATCATTTATTCTAGCTTTATTCTAGCTCATTCTTAACATATTGAGATGTAGAACTTTGTATAGTTTCAACCATCGATAACGATTTTTTATACCATAGATGAGATATGCAAGATTTTTCTTTGCTAATTCCGTCTTGAAAAGTCTTTACTATAGCAGATCGGCTGATGTAGGGACATGGGTTATGTTGCAGGCTTAGCTTTCACTGTAATTGTTATTCATTCGTTTGACTTCCCATCATCCTCTCACTACATCGATTACTGTCTTTTTTGATCGCAGAAAGTGAATCGAGAATAATGTGGATCAATGATGAGTCTATCAGTCTATACTTCATCAACAAGATCTATTGTGTAAATTCATTGACGATAGTTATAGTGGAATATCGAAGAATTAAAGTGGATCACAAAAGTTTACGAAGGCATCTATATGAGACCAACGAGAAATCGAAGCCCTTATGAAAATTTAAATTTTTGATTTGATGCTCTCATCTTGTTCAGCATCATCTAAAATTCTAAATCCAAATGTTTAGCTCATTGGGTTGACCTGGTGAAAAGTTAGCCCAATTTTAGTGTCGAGCACTCATGAAAATATTTGGAAAATATGATCAGGGTGTGGGTGTGGGTGGGTGCGGGTGTGGGATGAGTGGGTGTGGGTGTGGGGTGTGAGTAGAGGTGTTAGCCGCCGATTTTTCGCCGCCGCCGCCGGTCGAATGAAAGGTAACAGTTCAAGCGTCCTCTCTTTCTAAATTATCACTTGTTGATAATAATCAGTAACATCTCAAGTTTAATCTATGTGACAATTAGAGATTGCTGAAACCAACAGAACTTTTAAAAAATAGAAATTAGTGTATTTTTTCTTGGATGACATATGGTCTGAAAACCGAGCTGATAAGCAAATATGTCTCCTTATGATTTTGTGAAGCTGCCATATTTATTAGGTTCTCATTTGCCTTGTTTCTTCATGCACAATAGATTCATCGCTATTATTTTCTTCGTTTTGCGATTTTTGACTTATTCAGTATGCAGTTTCGACTAACTGTCTCACTTCAGTTCGAATATAAATGTAACTAACATTGCCATTCGAATTCGAATTCGAATTCATACTCTCCTACCAGTTTAGAAAAAAAGAAAAATATTTAGTTTGAATTTGAATTTGGATAATCAAAAAAAACAAATCTTGCTCTTTTTCTCAATTCACACAAAAGTATCGATTTGAATTTGGATTGAAATTCTAATTTCAATGTTAGTTTCACTTATGATCCAATTCAAGCTACCATGGGGGTGGCACATTATCTTTATTTTACTTTGAATAAGTAAAGTAAAGTAGAGTAAACTAAAATACTGTAGTTTGAATGTGGAAAATAAAGTGAGATAAAGTTAACCAAACAATATTTTTCATGTATTCATAAAAGAATCGACATTTTTCGACTTTACTCATTTTTTTACACTGATTTTAAGATGAAACGTTATTGAATAAACTTTGATACGTTCTAAGATTATTTATACATGATCCTGAACTAAGAAATTGCCAAAAAAATTAAAACATACAACTTCATTTTTTTTCACTTTACTTTACTTTTTGGATAAAGTATATTCACTTTACAGGGTAAAGCAAAGTTCTAATATTTAACTTTATTTGGTAAAGTAAAGATAAAGTGCCAGCCCTAAGCTATCATGTTTGAATTTAATTTGTATTTTATATGGATAGTCACATTATTGCCATTTTGGCTTATATCATGAGTTACTGTTGTGTGGTTTGAAGTTATTTTATGATGGGACAATGTGAATTTTTTGAATTAATGAAAATAAAGTTACATCTACTGGGAAAATTTTCGCATAGAAAGACATGAGCGTGCTAAGAGGAAAACAGCGTTATAACTCTGTGAGAACAGAACGTCTAATGTTTGTCTTAACGGTAGGGACTTACGAAAGACCCTGTGAAATAACATAGAAAAAATTTTGTCGTCGCCGCCGAAAACGACCTTCTCGGCGAGAGCTTCTCGCCACTGCCGCCGATGCCTTAGAACTTTTTCGCCGCCGCCGCTGATCAAATGATCAGCTAACGCCTCTACCCACACCCACCCACATCCACACCCACACCCACACCCCAGACCCACACCCCACACCCACACCCACACCCCATACCCACACTCACACCCACATCCACCCGCACCCACACCCACACCTACACCCACACCTACACCCACATCCACAGCCACAGCCACACCCCATACCCACACTCACACCCACACCCCACACCCACAGCCACAGCCACACCCACACACCCACACCCACACCCACACACCCACACCCACACACCCACACCCACACCCACACCCACACACCCACACCCAC